CAAACTGACACCAGACATACTGATCTTCTCCATCCAGCTGGTCCATGAACAAATCCATAAAGGACATATTGGTGAGCAGTCTTGGTGGGTTAACCTGTCATAAAGTTGTACAACCAAAATTAGACCGAAAGGCACAGAGAGAGACTAAACTGACATCCATATCACAGGAGCAATATAAATCCGCCGAACTCCTTGAATAAAACAAGAGTGTAAATTTGAGCTGAAAATAGTAAAACTGCGCAATTCTCAGATAAATTGCCCGGTAAAAGAAGCAAATAGCATAGGTGAACAACGATGGAGGTAACAACAAAAAATGCGGATTATTTGATATATTTTCTAACAAACACCCTGGATTAATGTCAGTTTAGGTCGCTGAAATCTGTGAGCGATGAGCCTCCAAGTTCGAGGACATGTTGTAGCTACCAACACTTCAACTTAGTGGTAGGTAGCTTCACGCTGGCTCAGTTTTCTATCACACCTATCCTAATGAGGTCTCTTACGTGATTCTCCCGGGGGTTAGGTTGCCGCTGCTTCAAACCGACGATCGGACCTCATGAGCACGCAGAAGCGTGATGGAAAAAGGCCTATCCGGTACAATATTACACCAAGCCGTGAGTTGTGATTAGTGGGCCTCCTGATGCACAATAAGATTTCGAAACTGGGATTGAACTAGGTGAATTATATGCATGAATGTTCTTGGGTATCCGATCTCGAAAGTCAGTTGTTTGAAATAGCTGTCCTTCGACGCGATAGTACAATCGTGAAAAAACACCATTTCCGTCGGTGGCCATGAGTGTTGCAAATGACGTTCTACGGTATGGGCTGAAAAAACTAATAGTTGACGTCGGACATAGAACCGATAGAGGTGCATGCTGTTCGGTGGCTCAATTATCTTTATGAATAGAGGACAACGATCACAATAAATACACGGTGATTACCACAAAAGCACGTGACAATTATTGTCACAATAATAATAATATTACAAATACGTTGAGAAAATTGATACTGGCTGCAAGTGTGGAAAGATTTCGACATAGGGAAATGTAGAATGGGCACATTCTGTTTGATTTCGACTGGTCTAAGTAAGTTATGCAATTACAGTTATCTAAAGACCAACCGAAGCGGAATAGAAAAAGAAATACTCACCTGTAGGATGGTAAAAATTAGCACAGGCAGGAGATCGTCAGCACTGGGAACCGACTGGGGACAAGCTAGTTGTAAAGTAGCCACGATACGTTCGATGACTCGCTTGAGACATTGGAGCATATCCGAGGGAAGCTGAGTACATAGTACAAGACAAACGTGTTTTTATTGCCAAATTAAACACCATTCATAGTTCTTAAGGTAAATTAGAATATCTTTGACGAATTACGATTCAAAAAGAGTGTACTTCGAAAGCTAATATTGCAGTATGGTAATATTGTATGGCTTTACTCGACACAATAAGAAAAAAGACAAACAGGCGTTTTATTTTCATTCATGATTGTGCTTCAGACGGAGGAGTGGCTTCTTTTTGTCAGTCTGTTCTGAACGCGCTTGTTGCAAGATGTCCAGAATGCCGCAAGCAAAAGGCAAAGTCGTTCTTGAGGGAATAGAACGGATAGGTTCAGTTATATTTTGTTTTTTTACCAATCTCACTGAACCAATAAAAGAGCTAATGAACATTATCAACTCCACCACCACTTGGTTTTGCAGTCGTGAGCATAATGAACCTTTGATGTATATGTCAAGGTGGATGTATGAGAAATTTCGTCTTATACAGAACAAAGGAGACGAGAACTGAAATGGGAAATCGCTGTTCATCGATCCAACTGAGAATCTAATGTAAGGTCTCATAGGAGGGATGCAAGCACACTGTTCACCTGTCTATCGATCAGTTAGCTAATCAGAACTGCTTCACTTTATTTATATCCGATACGGCACAACACATTTCCAGGTTTGTTGCAGAGATCAAACCTCACTAATCTGTGCACTAGACACTCAGGGGTTATCATTCAGTCAGCTTGATGGACTCGCATTGCGAACGAGAGCCCAACTGATTGAAGCGACTGTACAGTGCGCCCTATCTTTGCTCCCTACACAATTAAGTTCACGGTGTCACCACAGTTAACCCTACACTAATTTCTGCATTCATTATTATTGTTCATATTAGTGCATTATCTAGGGTAAAATGACAAAATGCTGAACCAACTAGGCGGACATGTCATGTCTGTCCCAAGAGTAGAAACTAAAATCGACGAGTGGAGTACTAGTCCACGTGACCTTCTGAGTTCGACTGTATGCTGCACACCGATACGGAGTTTATTCATGGACAAAGTGACAAACGGATCGAACACGGGACTGACTGCTAAAGGGGTAAAACGTGTTGCCACTATGAGAGGGGATTGGAACGCAAAATGTAATAAAGCAAACCGTGAGGAAAAACGTGTCAGATAATCTGAAGAAGATATTTCGCGCATATGTGCCAACTAGGCAATCTGATTTGCATTAAAAAGCAACAAGAACAACGCGTGTAGTTTGCACATTGAGCCGAATGGAGAGGGCGTACAGCGCGCACGTGCCTGAAAGTGGTGGTGTGGGACATCACGTGCACGCATCGATAAATAATCATCTATCACAGAACGCAAGTTGTCATGGGTTTGTATACCCTTGCCAAGAGAGAGAGCGCGCACGGATGAGTGACAGAGAAGTAACAAGTGCATAAACACATGAA